AAGAACACAAGTATGGTTACAAAAGAAAGAACATCATTGGTCCTTCCTTCCTGTTTGTTAGTAGTTGATCGATCTCAGGATCTCATCCTTTATTGAAGGAAGCCAGAGTCTTATGCTTTAATTGCATGGTTGAGCAGGTTGTTTCACACCTGTTCGCAGTTTTAAATGCATTTTTTTGTGATTTGTGTGAATATAAAATGATAGGTATTTACTGGTGAAAGATAAGCTGCCTGAAGTCCTTTTTTTATTATTATTATTAGTAGTATAGTTCGTGCACAAAAACTCTTTATAATATATACATTTGGCCAGAACATTCAAATTCCAAATTAAAAATAAGTCCTAAACTGAGTCCTGTAATCGGAAGATTAAGACCAGACATTAATTTACTTGTGGTCAGCACATTACTGGCATATTTTCAGGATACTGAAAATAACAGTTGGGATGATCCAGCTGGCAATGGTGAAATGTCACATATGCTGACATTAGTAGACTGGGGAAAATATAATAAACTAAAAGCAATCAACAAATTCATTTTGTGCACTTCTCTATGGATTTTATCATCTACGCATCTCACACTTTGCTCACTAGGCTTTGTTAATTAAGCAATTCAATGCAAAATATCCACTGCGCCTTTTTGTTAGAGGTTAACAGATAACATCTAACGTTTTCTTGCGTTGTGTAGTGAAACACCTCTTTGTTTCAGGTTTTTTACCTTTACCATCAAGATGAATTTCTGATCAAACTTGTAAAGCATCCCCCATCTAGATTTTTCCCCTCTGCACACTCACTAAAATACCCTTATGATGAACTAAAAGCTAATGATCACTAAAGCCCTGTAAAGTTAGCATTATATTTTGAATTCTGTAGGTGCAATTTTAAATTTCACTACTTTTTCTTGTTTTAAGTGGAAACCATGCATTCTAATTTCTTTCTATATGTAAATCTACAAATCCAGTGAATTTATCCACATGGTTTGAAAACAGGGTTACATCCTATAATTTGTCACTTATATGTGGCAAGTTTCAAATCAGTCAATTAATTAATGCTTGTTTTTGAAAACAAGGCTCAGTCCTTGAAAACTCTCTGTCATACCTATCCAGTGCCACTGTCTTTAGCGACTGGAGCAAAGTGGTCAGTCCTGTCTTCTGATTTCTTAAAAGAGAAACAGTCTTCTCAAGTCATCTTGAGTCATCAGTGTTTTTTTTAAATTTATTTCTACTGTACACCATCTTAAATTAGAAAAGGTAACTATGTGGACCCCCAAGATATTGTACCTCTACCTAATTCACGCACGTTTATCACTTTGAGCAGATCTCAGCTGCCTTTTCTTCACCCTGAAGCACAGAAGATTTACAGATAAAGATTTTCAAGCCAACACACTAAACCACACAGCTGAGAAATGTCCTGTGTTCTGCTGGTTTTCTGTGCCAATCTCACACGAGGCATTTCTTCAGTTACTCTTGGCTGTTCCTTGCACACAAGGCACATACGGTACAAAGACTTCAGCTGAAATCCAGGAAACAGTTTTTGGCTTGACATTCCTATTGTTATTTTCTAGCCATTGTTCAGTATGCAGTTTACTGAGGAAGTACCATGCTGAACAGGTGCTACTAACAGTATGTATAGGAGCTGAGGTGGAATGAAAGGGATACATGTAAGATCAAATAAGCATTCTAAAACACGCACATCACTTTGTATTTGTCACTGGCAGGGTAGTAATTTTGCAATGTGGATTTAGAGGAATTTCAATCACTAAGTGTGGTTAAATATATATAAACATACTGAAATTAGACACGGAACTGTCACATAATATAAAGACTCAATGTCTTTTCCAAATCCGCCGTAGTGTTAATATATATTTCACTTTTGCAGGTTGCGTCTTTGACCAGAATACCCTATTTTGCATTCTACAGGCATTTGTTTTCAGCTTTTAAAAACATTTTCCATAGAAAGACAGGTGTCCTATGAAACCTACAGTGTCATGAAGGCATCAGTTAGTTTGATTATAGAACGAACATTCTTATGATCAGACCTGCACATTTAGAACACGTATGTTGTTTCACCTTGAGTTTATTTAGAAAATAAATTAATTCTTCTAAGAGTACAATTTATCTGCCAGATATAAAATAAGAAAATATTTTACTTATATTTGGCATTATAAGACTCTCATCCTCTTATTTACTTTCTTTGCTTGCTATTCCACAGAGCGGAATAGGCATTTTGTTTTTCACATGAGCACAAATATCCGGTGAGCTATATTTTTAAGCACTAAGCATAAGGAAC